TAGAATTCTGACTCAGTTGAGACTGGTGGAGGTTAACTCAGTCCTCAGGATTTTTAGTCTTCTTCCTTACAAATTTGTTCTTCTGTTTCCTAGTCCAGTCCATAGACCCCTTGGTCACTAGTAAAAACATGGCTCCTTCTATCACATGTCCATGCCAACCTTTCATGGTTATCTGAGCCCATTTAACCTTGTCCCTGGAATCTGTTCCCTTGACATTTGGTTTGCTTTCTGACCTAATGGCCCAAAGTCAATGTCCTGTGAAAACAACTTTGCTTGTTTTTCCTTTTTTCTCCATTTGTAATTTGCCTGAACTTAGGTTCCTTCACATTTTTTAAGACCAAGAGCTATTCAGGGAAAGTATTTTCCTACCACCTCTGAAGACTCATGGCAATCACAGACCCTGTCACAGCCAGCACTGAACGTGTGCCTGCTCATGTACGTCCCCCTCACCCTCATAACCACATCTGTGCTCAGTCGATAATCTGTATGTATGTTTCTTCTTCAGACAACTCTAACTTTATTTTTATTTTTTATTTTTTAAATATATTTTATTGATTATGCTATTACAGTTGTCCCATTTCCCCCCTTCTCTCCCCTCCACCCTGTACCCCCTCTCCCACCCACGTTCCCCTCCTTTAGTTCATGTCCATGTGTCATACTTATGAGTACTTTAGCTTCTACATTTCCCGTACTATTCTTGCCCTCCCCCTATCTATTTTCAACTTACATTCTATGCTACTTATTCTCTATACCTTTTCCCCCTCTCTCCTCCTCCCACTCCCTTGTTGCTAACCCTCCATGTGCCCTCCATTTCTGTGGTTCTGTTCCTGTTCTAGTTGTTTACTTAGTTTCTTTTGGTTTTGCTTTAGGTGTGGTTGTTAATAATTGTGAGTTTGCTGTCCTTTTACTATACATGTCTTTTCTTTATCTTCTTTTCTTAGATAAGTCCCTTTAGCATTTCATAAAATAAGGGCTTGGTGATGATGACCTCCTTTAACTTGACCTTATCTGAAAAGCACTTTATCTGCCCTTCCATTCTAAGTGAAAGCTTTGCTGGATAGAGCAATCTGGGATGTAGGTCCTTGCCTTTCATGACTTGGAATATTTCTTTCCAGCCCCTTCTTGCCTGCAAGGTCTCTTTTGAGAAATCAGCTGACAGTCTGATGGGAACTCCTTTGTAAGTTACTGTGCCCTTATCTCTTGCTGCTTCTAGGATTCTCTCCTTCGTTTTTGGCTAATGTAATTATGATGTGCCTTGGTGTGTTTCTTCTTGGGTCCAACTTCTTTGGGGCTCTCTGAGCTTCTTGGATTTCTTGGAAGACTGTTCCCTTTGCCAGATTGGGGAAGTTCTCCTTTATTATTTGTTCAAATACGTTGTTGCTTTTCCCCTTCCCATTCTGGTACCCCTATAATTCGGATGTTGGAACGTTTAAAGGTGTCCTGGATGCTCTTAAGCTTTTCCTCGATTTTTTGAATTCTTATTTCATCATGCTTTCCTGCTTGGTTGATTCTATCTTCCTTCTGGTCCACTGTATTGTTTTGAGACTCAGATTCCTTCCTTTCACTATTGGCTCTCCTCCGCGTATCTTCCTGCATCTCTTTTATGGTAACCTGCATCCTTTCATCTAAATTGCGCCCAAAATCAACCAATTCCGTGAGCTTTCTGATCACCAGTGTTTTGAACTGTGCATCTGATAGATTGGCTATTTCTTGGTCGCTCAAAAGGGTGAGTCCTGGGGGACTGATCTGTTCTGTTGGAAACATGTCTTAAGTCTTTCCCTGTCTCTCCATTTTTTTTTTCTGGTCTGGTCGGTCTTGTTATGGTGGGGGGCGGAGCCTTAGGTGTTCACCGGGGCTGGGCACCCCAGTTGCTATATTGTGACATTATATGTGGGGGCGGGGGTGGGAGTGGGAGCGGGTTTGGGAGGGAACAATGGCAGTAGTTCCGTTCTCCTGGGCTCAGACCCTTCTTTGGGATCCTGGGCTGCGAGGTCTGCACTGGTCCACAATCGCTGCCTCACTGGGTCCGCCAGCCACAGCTTGCGTACTCAGGGATCGCTGCTGCATTCTTGTGCCCCGGATGGCTGTCGCGCTGATTTTGCGCCAAATTTTCCCCCGACCTCTGCGCGCCTCCGACCCGCGCCAACCCCGCGCCTGCCCGGCTCGTCGTCTCCTACCAGTCTGGATGTACGGGTCTACTTCAACTTCTTGGCTGTCCAACTTCCATTCAGATAAATCCTCTGTCAGTTCTGAGTGTTATTCTGACTGTAAATTATTGTTTTTCTAATCTTGGTTGTGCGAGGAGGTACGGTGCATCCACCTATTCCTCCATCTTGCCGGAAGTCCTTCATCTAACTTTTTTTAATATAAAAGAAACACTAGTTCCTTGTGAAAAATACAGAAAATATAGGCAATGAAGAAGAAAGTAGTGAATGCCTGGAGTCCTACCATTGAGTAATGACCACTCCTACCACTTTGGCATACGTTTTCTTTATTATCTTTTTAAGTATAAATTTTGGCACCTGTTAAAGAATATATTTAACGTTTACCAACATCTATATTATAAAGCTTCATGATATATTTGACACCATTGAGCCCATCACCCAAATCCAAAATGGATAATTACTAATACTGATTCCTCCCCTAGCCCATGCCCTGCCTCCCCACCCCAGAGGTAACCCCTGTTCCAAATTTTGTGTTTATCATTCCCCCTTTTCTAAAAAATCATATTTTATTACACTTTGCAATGCCTATACAATATATTATTTAGTTTTGTTTGTTTTTAAGCTTAAATTTAAAAAATCTTACTGTGTGTAGCCCTTGGGATTGCCTTTTCTCTAACGTTTCTATGATTCATCCCTACTGTTGATTGAGCTGCAGTTCATTCATTTCATTGTTGTCTAATGTTCCATCATGTGGTCTAACCATTATTTGTTTCTTCTCTTGCTTTTGGGCAGACATCAGTCTGTCTTCCCTTCCCTTCCCTTTCCTTCCTTCCTTCCTTCCTTCCTTCCTTCCTTCCTTCCTTCCTTCCTTCCTTCCTTCCTTTCTTCCTTCCTTTCTCTTTCTACTGTGAATATTCTTGCTTGTCTTCTGGTGCATATGTATAAGTTTCTTTACCTAGAAGGAAAATTACTGGGTTACACATCATATGAATGTTCACTTTTACAAAGTAATGACAAAATTACTTTCCAAAGTACATAATTATACAAACTTACACTCCCACCAGCAATATAAAAGAATTTATTTGGATCTGTGTTCTCCCAACACTTGTTATTGTCACTTTTCTCTTGTTTTACAATATAGTGGGTATAAAATGTTACCTTGGTATTGTCTTAACACGTATTTCCCTAATGACTAATGATATCGAGTATCTCTTTGTGTCTTTATTGGCTATACTTTGTTCCTCTTTAATAGAATTCAGATCTTTTGCTTGGCCTATTTTTTTTACTGGATTGCTTTTTACTATGGCTTTGTAAGAATCAATATATTGATTATATATTACAGATAAACACTTGCCCATTATCTGTGTCACAAATATGTTTTTCCCATCTGTAATTGTCTTTTTAGCTTATTTTGGGGTCTTTTAATATAAACAGAAATTCTTAAATTTAATGTTAAATTTAAAATTATTTTCATAACATAATTAAATTAACATAATTTAAAATAAATTTAAAATTATGTTAAATATAAAATTATTATAAAATTAATGTTAATTTTTTAAAAAGATTTTATTTATTTATTTTTAGGGAGGGAAGGGAGGGAGAGAGAGAGAGAGAAAGAAACATCAATGTGCGGTTGCTGGGGGTTATGGCCTGCAACCCAGGAATGTACCCTAGCTGGGAATCAAACCTGGGACACTTTGGTTCCCAGCCTGTGCTCAATCCACTGAGCTATGCCAGCCAGGGCAAAATTAATGTTAATTTAAAATTAGTTCTTAATTTATCAATATTTTCTTTTTTGTTTAGCACTTTTCAGATCTTTAATCAGTTTTTTTACCTTAAGGCCCAAAACAACATTCTCTTATATTTTCTCCTAAAAGTTTTCATTTTTACACTTAATTTTTTTATCCATTTAGAGTGGATGTTAGTGTCTGATATGAGGTAGGGAATCCAATGTCACTTTTTCCCATGTGGACCATCAGCACTGCCACTTTCCTTCGCCTCTGACGTGCATCACTGTTTCACATTTGTGTGGGTCTGTTTCCTGGCTCTCTTTGGTTCTGTTGGTCAGTTTGTGTGTATTAGTGCCAATACCATCTTGACTTAATTACGTTATTTTTATGTCCTGCTCTTTACCAGGGCAAGTCTCCCCCAGTTTCTTCTTTTTCAGCAATGTCCTGATTATTGTAGGACCTTTGCTGATTTACATTTTACCCCCAGAGTGGGATCACAATGTTATTACCAGTTTATAATTTGCTTTAAAAACTTAATAATAATAATACATCATGACTATTTGTTGTTGTACAAAATGTGTCATTTACATAATCTAGTAAAATATAACCTTAATGGCTGCATGATACATTATTGTTTGGATGTATCATAATTTATTTATCCTCCCTCATTTCTGTATAGTTAAGTTGTTGTCAAATTTTCATTATTATAAAGTAATTCTGTGATGAATAGTATAACAAAATCTTTTAACACATCCATGACTATTCCTTTCTGATGGATTTCTGAGTCTAAGGATTTGCTCAGTTTTAACGATTTTGATACAAATTGCTATATTATTTTTAGAAAGTTTTAATGAACTGTGTGACAGTGTAGGTCTCAAGGCAGACAACTTTGTTAACAAAGAACATCATCACTTAAAAAAAGTTTCAATTTGGTAGGCAAATAATTTAAATAAGTTAAATTTGTATTACATATCTAGTGTGGATTAACACACTTTATGTTTGTATTTTTCTAGTGAGTAGCCACAGGGTTTTGTACCTTGAGTGCTCTCCGGAGCACCTTCTCATTTTGTTCCGTCAGAGGAACTGAGCTCTGCTGCCCAGGCCCATGGCGAATCAGACTGCCACCCTGGGGGAGTCTGTTTTGCTGGGATTTCCCCTCAGCAGGCAGGTGGAGCTGCTGTTCCTGGGGCTGCTGCTGCCCACATTCCTGCTGACCCTCCTGGGGAACCTGCTCATCATCTCCATTGTGCTGTCCTACTCCCACCTCCACACCCTGATGTATTTCTTCCTGTGCAGCCTCTCTATCCTGGACATCCTCTTCACCTCAGTCATTTCTCCAAAAGTGTTGGCCAACTTAGTAACTGGGGATAAAACCATCTCCTTTGCTGGGTGTATCACCCAGTGTGATTTCTACTTCTTCCTGGGCACAGTAGAGTTTCTCCTGCTGACAGTCATGTCGTATGGTCGCTACACAGCTGTCTGCTACCCGCTGCACTACACCACCATCATGAGGCTTCTGTCTGCATTGGGACCGTTGTGTTCTCATGGGTGGGAGGCTTCCTGTCTGTGCTCTTTCCAACCATCCTCATTTCCCAGCTGCCCTTCTGTAGCTCCAACATTATTAACCACTTCTTCTGTGACAGTGGTCCCTTGCTGGCCGTGGCCTGTACAGACACCTCTGCCATTGAGCTGATGGAATTTATGCTCTCGTCCACCATCATCCTCTGCTGCATAGTCCTGGTGGCCTATTCCTATACATACATCATCTTGACAATAGTGCGCATCCCTTCCTCAGTTGGAAGGAAGAAGGCCTTTAACACCTGTGCTTCCCACCTGATGATAGTCGTGATTTCTGGTGGCATCACAGTGTTTATCTAGGTGACACCCTCCCAGAAAGAATATCTCGAGGTCAACAAGATCCCTTCAGTACTGAGCAGTGTTGTGACTCCATTCTTCAACCTCTGTATATATACTCTGAGGAATGACAGTGTTGGGGGTGCTCAAGGACATGTGGGCCAGAGTTCAAACAGTTTTAGAAAAGAGAATAATGACAATGCTGAGGAGCAAATTGTCCTCTTACAAAGACCAATAAGGGGGGGGGGGGCTAGTCCCTCTTCCTCTTTGCCACCATGTATGCAATGAATAAATCCCCAGTAACAGAAAGATAGGACTTGCCTTAGCAAAGGGATGAGCCAGCTAAGGGATTCTGAATGGTCTATAGTAGAAAGAAGGCTGAGCTTGGAGACAGGGACTTGGTTCTAACTTGAACTCTGTGGCCACAGCTGTGTCCCTGTGTCACCAGCCACTCTGACTCTCAGCCCTCTCATTTGAAGTGTGTTAGGGCCGAACTTGATGACCTCTAAGACTCATCCACACTGAATGTTCTGAGAACTACAGAAAAGCCTAGCAGCCTGTGTCCTTTTCAAGTCCTAACATGTTTGGCCCCATTTTCTGCTGACCACAACTCTTCTACCAGCCAGCACAAAGTCCTTCCTGGTCCCTTCCGCATAGACCCCCTTTCCTTCATCTTCTCCAGGAATCTTTCTAGGAATAAGCTTTATTCTCTAGTCAACTGACATATCCTATGATCCATTGTTTTTCTTCAGTGGACATTTGTAATAATTGTGGTGGGTATATGTAGTCTGTGTTATTTAATAATACTGCTTCCTATAATAGTACATATTTATAATATCCAACATGCTCACATTCTTATGTAAGACATGACCCTGTTCCTTCAGCCTCCAGTGATGGACCTATGGATGGATGATCTGAAGGCACAATCCATTGCCTGACCAGGGATCTGTGTATAACCTGTGTGGCTTGGCTAGGACAGATAAATAGTGCAAACAGATGTCTCTTTTTGAGAGTTTGAACCAAGAGATTTGGAGACTGTACCAGACAACAGTGATGCTCCCCATGGAAACTCAAGTAGGCTTGGTGCCTGGAGTGGCCACTTTGGGGCCATGTATGAACTTCTAAGTAATTAGAGGAAACCAGTCTGGCTATTGAAGAGAATGGAGTTGGTGTGGAGAGCAAAACTGAGAAGAAAGAGATGAGAGCCCTCTCAGCTGCAGAGACACAGAGGGAAGGGCCCTCTTCTCTAATGACTTCCCAGGCCGGGGAGCTGGCAGAATTTTATTTCCTATTTCTGTGTTTGATGAGGTTTCCTGTACCCATGAATCAAATCCCTTTTTGTTGAGCTTTTTCGAGGTTTTTGTTTTTCACAATGAAAAATTAGCCTGACTATAAAGTGGGGCTCTCTCTCTCTGCACCAAGTGTAATTCTCTTCCTTTTTAGCTCCATCTAGAAAGATGTCTGTTTTGAACTGAACTCTTAGTCTGAATTCTTGGTGCACAAATACTGCCTGGGATGCTTGACTGGCACCATCTAGGCCTATGGTTCAGGTCGGTGCAAACCAAACTCTTCTGTGTCATCAGAAGCACTTCTTTTCCTGTCCCTTTTGGCCTTTAGCACCACAGCATCCACTTTGCCAGAATTAACACCTGTATTCCCCGTGGAACTGGTCAGAAGGATACAGCATAACTAAGGAAGCTCTGTAGAGTGCTGTGGAAATAAGTAAGACTGATCAAATGAGAACAGAGGTATTTATCCAGAATTGGCTGTAGCAAGGGAGTCAGCCACCATCACTGGGATTTGGCAGAGACTCAAAGTCAGGCAGGGAGTGAAAAGCTTTATAGCAGAAGAAGAGGGTAAGGCTCAGGTGTGTTCTGATTGGAGGGTTTTGGCATGGGGAAACTGGAGGTGACTTAACTACAAGCCAGGCATCTTTGTTTGTTTGTTTTTTCATTATGAGTCCTTTATTTTGACACATCTCTTAAATGGCTGCAATTTGCTGTAAGGTAGGTTTTTCCCAACAACTGTATCCAGATATAATTGACATATAACAAATGACACAAATTTAAAGGGTCAATATAAAAAGTGTAAGTACATGTGAGAACATCACCACAATTAGGAAAATTAACAAACATATTCATCACCTTCAAAAGTTTCCTTATGCTTTTTCTCTTTTAAAAATATATTTTATTGATTATGCTATTACAGTTGTCCCAATTTTTCCCTTTGCCCTCCTCCACCCAATACCCCCATTTCCTCCAGCTGTAACCCTTGCCCACTTAGTTCATAGCCATGGGTCATGCATATAAGTTCCTTGGCTTCTCCATTACCGATAGTGTTCTTAACCTCTCCCCGTTTATTTTGTGCCTACCAATTAGGCTTCTTATTCCCTGCAACTTTTCCTCCATTCTCCCCCTTCCCCCTCCCAACTGATAACCCTCCAAATGATTTCCATATCTATGATTCTGTTCCTATTCTGCTTGTTTGTTTAGTTTGTTATTTGGATTCAATTATCGATAGTATGATTTTATTGTCATTTTAATGTTCATCATTTTTATCTTCTTTTTCTTATATAATTCCCTTTAGCATTTCATATAATAATGGCTTGGTGATGATGAACTCCTTTTGTTTTACCTTGTCTGGGAAGCACTTTATCTGCCTTTCAATTCTAAAAGCTAGCTTTGCTGGACAGAGTAATCTAGGTTTTAGGTCCTTGCTTTTCATCACTTTGAATACTTCCTGCCAGTCCCTTCTTGCTTGCAAAGTTTCTTTTGAGAAATCAGCTGACAGTCATATGGGAACATTTTTGTAGGTAAGTCTCTGCTTTTTTCTTGCTGCTTTTAAGATTCTCTCTTTTCATCTTTAACCTTTGGTATTTTAATTATGATGTGTCTTGGTGTGGTCCTCTTTGGATCCATCTTGTTTGGGACTCTATGATTTCTTGATTTGTATTTCTATTTCCTTCACCCAATTAAGGAAGTTTTCTTGCTCTTCCTCTTCTCCTTCTGGCACCCTTATGATTTAGAAGTTGGTACATTTAAAGATGTCCCAGAGGTTCCTAAGACTTTCCTCATTTTTTAAAATTCTTATTTTGTCCTGCTGTTCTGATTGAATCCTTTTTCCTTCCTTGTGCTCCAAATCATTGATTTGATTCTTGGGTTCATCCCCTCCACTGTTGGTTCCCTATAGATTTTTCTATTTTTTTCACTTAATCCACCTTCATTTCTGCCTGGGTCCATTTTGCACCATTGAAGTGTCCATTGAGTTCCTGGAGCATGCTGATAACCAGTGTTTTGGACTGTGCATCTGATAGGTTGCTTATCTCTATTTCATTTAGTTTTTTTTTTTTCGGGAGTTTTGTTCTGTTCCTTCATTTGGGCCATATTTCTTCGTCTTCTCATTTTGGCAGCCTCCCTGTGGTTGTTTCTGTGTATCAAGTGGAGCTGCTTTGACTCCTTGTCTTAGCACACCTGTTAATTTTTATGGGGCAGAGTCTTAGGGAACTCTAAGGGAACTTCCAGAGCAGCGCAGCCTGTCACCACTTGTTTATCTGTGGGGCGGGGGGAGGCTCGCAGAGGAGACAGTGCTGCTGCCTGGCCTCTGGAGTTTTGCCTGGGAGGAAGCTGTTTCTCTACTTGCACTTCACTTTTTCCCCATATGCCACTGGTGCCCTTCCAGCTATTGCCCTGGTGCCGAATTCCAGAGTGGGTGGGTCTGTGTGATTCCTAAGTCTGTTGCAGGACCTTTAAGGTGACACAGTTTCTTCTGCTGTCCAAGTCCCCACTGGTGTTTACAGCCAGAAGTTATGGGGACTTGTCTTCCTGATGTTGGGACCCTGGGCTGGGTGGTCTGGACTGGGGCTGGGATCCCTTACTTCTCCCATTTTTTATCCACCACATGTGGATGTGGGACTGCCCATTCCAGTCTCCATGCCTCTCTGTGCCTCTCCATGTCTCTGCACCACCTACCCATCTGGATGAATGTGGCTTATTTAAATCCTTGGTGGTTGGTCTACCATACAGCTCAATTTTCTGACAGTTTTGGGTGATGTGTTTTGTAATCTAGTTGTATTTTTTTGCTATAGTTGTGTGTGGAGGTGAGGCATGTTTACCTGTACCTCCATATTGACTGGAATTCCCAAGCCAGGCATCTTTTATGATTGGTTTGGGGAGCATAGGTGGCTTTCTCTGATTAGTCCCGAGTTGAAAAGAGGTGGAGAGGGGATGGGGCAGTAAAAATTAGGAAGGTTGGCAGTCCTACTGATGGCCTGAGCATTCTGGGCTGACTGCTGCAGAGGTTGTAGCTTGGCTTTCTGCCTGGTTGCTTCAGAGTTTGTGGGTAAGAGTCTGGCTATTACCCATTTGCACATTGAATTTCTCAGTTCTTAACACATTGAAAGTTCTTGTGGAATTTTAAAGTGTAAGCAGAGGAACAATCCTCCCAAAGCTGACAACCCATCTCATGAGCAACAGATGATGAGAGGTGAGCTCAGATAAACAGAGTTTGTTTGGTGGTTTTGCAGGTTAGGAGTGGGAGTGGTAGAAATTGAGTTTCATTGACGTACTGAAGACTCTGTTTCTGTGAGTGATCCAAGCTCTAAGATTTAGACCTTTGGTTGGTAGGCCCTGCCCAGGGCATACCCTGCCTCGGTACATCTGGCAAAGCAGTTAAGCTTCTGAGGCTCAGTCTTTCATGAAATTAAAGAGACAGCAGAATCTAAGGTCAGATTGGTGGAGAAGGAAATGAGGTCTCTGCTTCCCTACAGGAATCTGAGACAGCCTCATTACCAAGTTCCCTATGGAGGTTCATGACTCCTCGGTTGTCCTTCTCTCCTAGCCTGAAGGAGTCTTTAAACCACTGACCAAAAGTGTCTGAGTTTGCATTTAAAAGCAGCAACAAAGATCCAAGTTCCCACTTTGAACCTTTATCCAAGCACTTCCATTCACTTCCTCTCTAAGCCTTTCATCCTTTATGGGATTGCTTTGCTTGTCTGTCTGTCTTCTCCAAGTGACAGGAAGTGCCTTTGAGGACTGTTTCTCATGCTAGGCATGCTCAATAAATAGATACTAAATAAAGTGAAAATGTGTTCAGTTTAGCAATAGTCTATTTTAAAAATGAAAATCTTAGTTTGGACTGGATTGGACTACTCACATTTTTTAAAAATTGATTTTTTGAGAGAGAGAAAGTGAGGAGAGAAACACTGATTTGTTGTTCCACTTATTGATGCATACATTGGTT